TCACAATGGACTTCGTAGTTGGGTTGCCGCAGACCTTGAGGAAGTTTGATTCAGTTTGGGTCATTGTCGACAGGTTGACCAAGTCAGCACACTTTATTCCGGTTGTGACTACGTATTCTTCAGAGAGATTGGCCTAGATTTACATTCAGGAGATTGTTTGGTTGCATGGTGTGCCTGTTTCCATCATATCAGATAGAGGCCCTCAGTTTACTTCCATTTCTGGAGGGCAGTACAGAGTGAGTTGGGGACTCGGGTAGAGCTCAGCACAATATTTTATCCGCAGACCGACGGGCAGTCGGGGCAGACGGTTCAGATCTTGGAGGATATGCTCAAAGCATGTGTGATTGACTTCAAAGGGCAGTGGGATCGATTCTTGCCTTTGGTCAAGTTTGCTTATAACAACAGTTATCAGTCCAGCATTGAGATGGCTCCATTTGAGGCTTTGTATGGTCGGGCGATGTCGTTCGCCCATTGGATGGTTTGAGCACTTCGAGGCTAGGTTATATGGTACTGATTTAATGAAGGATGCCTTGGAGAAAGTGAAGTCGGTTTAGGAGCGACTTCGCACAACACAATCCAGACAGAAGAGTTACGCAGATCAGAAGGTGCGTGATTTATCATTTATGGTGGGCGAGAAGGTTCTCTTGACAGTTTCGCTGATGAAGGGAATCATGAGGTTTGGGAATAAGGGAAAGTTGGAGCCCAAGGTTTATAGGCCCATTTGAGGTGTTAAGGCGAGTTGGGGAGGTTGCTTATGAGCTTGCTTTGCCTCCCAGTCTATCGGGAGTTCATCCGGTTTTCCACGTGCCTATGCTCCGAAAATATCATACCGACAGGTCGCATGTGTTAGATTACAGCATGGTTCGGCTAGATGAGAGTCTGGGTTATGAGGAGAAGCCAGTTGCCATTGTTGACAGACAGGTTCACCAGTTGAAGTCCAAGAAGATTTCTTTGGTAAAGGTTCAGTAGAGGGGTCAACTAGTCGAGGAGGCGACATGGGAGACCGAGGAGGACATGCAAAGCGGATATCCACACCTATTCGACACTCCAGGTATGATCCTAGACCCGTTCGAGGACGAACATTTGTTTAAGAGGTGGAGAATGTAACGACCCGATCAGTCGTTTTGCTTTCTAGATCATTGTTCCCCTAATTAAGACTCTCCGTATGTGTTTTTACTATTTTATGACTTGCTGGGATGGTTAGTTCGGGTTTGAAAGTGTTCGGGTTGAAATCGGAACACTTGGTTCCTTAATAGTGGCTTAAAAGGATTAAGTTTGACTTGAGTCAACGTTTTGAGTAAACGACCTCGGAACCGAGATTTGACGGTCCCAATAGCTACATTATGAACTTGTGAGTGGGCCCATGGGTGAATTTTAGAAATCTTCCAATTTGGGTTGGGTAATTTCTCTAATAGCTACATTATGAACTTGTGAGTGTATATTGATTAATTTATATAATATTTGACTAGTTTCGCGTTATTTGGCACCAAGTTGAGGCTTTAGAGCGGATTTGTGGACCGGAAGTGAGCTTGAGAACGAGGTAAGTCTCTTGCCTAACCTTGTAAGAGGGAACTCATCCCCTTAGATATATCTTGTTGTGTATTACTTGTGTGGGGAGCTATGTACGCTGACGAGAGTCCGTGCGTAGCTATATTTCATGAGGTGTCCGGATAGACTTAGATCAACATCATGCCTTTAATTATACTATTATGTTTATTATGCATATTAATCATCTTGAATAGAGCTGAGACTAAGGATTTTAAAGTTGCAATTTTCGACTTAGATTTCTTATTTTTGGAAGAATTGAGGAATATTTAATAACTTTGAGAAATCCATGTCCTCTCGCATCGCAAGTACTTTCGCGAGCGAGATAAACTTCTCTACTCTTATGGGATTAGGACGTTCGCCTCGGCAGTACGATAACACTACTCTTATGGGAGCGGGTCGTTTGCCTCGGCAATATGATAAATGCATTTATGGTTCATGTCGCTCGACCCTCGGCAGTGTACACATTATTCTGGATCGGGCCCAACGACCTCGGCATAAATCATGCGTGATAATGTTTGGAGCCCCAATACACTTGATATTATTTTTATGACTTGAGAGGTTATAATTTATTTAATGGCCTGAAATTGTTGAAGTTAGTATGTGTCAATTGGAGATTTTAAATTGACTATCAGTTAAAGAACCATTTATCCATTGATGGTTACTTTGTTATTATTATTATTCATGTATTTCCATGCCTATTTAGAATTTCTGTATTTTTATTATTGGCTTATAGTAAGTGTCGATGTCGATCCCTCGTCACTACTTCTTCGAGGTTAGACTGGATACTTACTGGGTACATGCTGTTTATGTACTCACGCTACACTTCTGCACTAATCGTGAAGGATCTGAGGCAGGTGCATCTGGCATTCACTCAGGCGCGCACCCCCGATACCCTGAGGCATAGTGGTGAGATGCTCTCTGAGTCCGTTCTGCATCACCTGCAGTCTCCCTTTTGTATTTACTTTCTGTCTATCCTATTTCAGACAGTAGCATAGGTGTTTTGTATATTCTACTAGTTGCTCATACACTTGTGGCATCGGGTTTTAGAAATATGCTAGTAGACACTTTATGGTTTTTGAGTATTTATTTCACCGTATTTGCTCTATTATTAGTATACGCTTTATTTTAGTAAATTTTCCACTTCTCAATTACTTAATAAATAAAAATTAACTACTTTAAATTATTAAAAAGAATAAATACATGTCTAGTTCACTGTTGGCTTGCCTAGCGGTGACGTTAGGCGCCATCGCGGTCTATAGAAGAAATTGGGTCGTGACAAGAAAGAAAATTTAATTGCACGTGATATAAAAATAATTATCTTTATCTATATCTATATATTATTAGAAGGAGAGAAAATGCCCTCTCCTTAAGCCAAGTGGCAGCCTTAAAATTAGCCACATGTAATATATTAACTATTTAGCTATTAACAATAGAAATAACAACAACAACATATGGGATAACTATTTAGCTATTAACTACTAACTAATTTAGTCATATGGGATAACCAGAAAAATCCACATATAACTTATTTTTAATTAATTAATTATAAATAACTAAATTAAAATATTGGAAGATTTTGCTATATAATTCTTAAAAATATTATTAATAAATTTAAATAATTTAATAATTTCGAGTATTAATTTAAAATAATATAAACATTTATATCAAGATTAAAAAATTAGACATTGATCTATATTATATTAAAGGATATAAATGGATAATGATATTAAATAAAGACGAAAGTTAATGAAGGTCACATAAAAACATGAAATACTATATATTAGGTAATATAATAGCAATAATTAAAAATTCAATAACATTTAATATTAGAAATTCAAAGGAAAGATGATTTGAACTTCAGATTATATTAAAGTTATGGTTAAAAGCTATGGATAGGACCAAAAAATTAAAGTTTTACTAGAAAAATAAAAATAAAAATTGAATAACAAATTAAAATTTGAAGAATACAAAATAAATGTTTCATGTAGATAATTTAGTAACAAAAATAAAATTTAATTTTTATCCTAAAACTAAAAGAGAAAGAAAATATAATTGCACGTAATATGAAAATAATTATTAAAAATACAATAGATTTAAAATATAATAATTTAGAAACTTATGTATAAATATTTTAGACTAATTCAATGTTATAACGTAAAATAAATTGATACTATATATTTTGATTATATTATAAGATATTAATATAAAATATTATAATTTCATAATCGTGTAAAAATTATATAAAGAGGAAAATAGAGATAGTGTGAGAATATTTATACTTTGAATTAATTTAAGAATAAGCATATTAAATAATTAAATAATACTCAAATTTATTATTGATAGATTTAAATGGCGAAAGAGCTCTAAGTAAGAGGATAAAAGTATAAAAATACATTAAATTTTAGGAATAAAAAATTTATATTTATATATAATTATCAAAAAGGTAATAAGAAAGATATCAAGTCAATCGACAAGCTAACAAAAAATCACATTAAAATATAACAATATTAAGTAATGAGTAATGCAACAACTATAAGCAAAGATTAAATAGAGATTGTTTTTTGGTAACAATGTAGAAGAATAAGACTTATTCGACTTTAAGGTAAAAATAAAGTGGTAGTAAGAATTTTTTTAAAACAATATGCTCAAACAAGATATATTACAACGTCATATATTTAGTATTCTTTAATATTTATCACAGAATAAAATGCAAGTACTAATATCTATGGGTTGGGATATTGTAGATATTAAAAAAAGAATATGATTTGGGTTGGGTTGTTTCAAATATAAAAAAGTACTAAGATCAAGGGGTTTAGTTGTTACAAATGTTATAAAAAATAATATGTTATCCAGTACGAAATATGAGAAACAGTTTCATGTCATGCTTCTTAACTAATATATAATAATTATACATATTTTTTATCTTGAAGGTTTAAATTGAGACATAGTTGATTGGTGGATTGATACACTCATTTCTTAATGTAGTTGAACTTAACCTACCAACAACAATAATATACCCAGTAAAATCACACAAGTGGGATGTGGGAAGGGTAGTGTGTACATAGAACTTAGCCATAAGGTAGTAGAGAGTTATTTCTGACAGATCCTCAGCTGAAAAGAAATATTAATAGTGGCGAAGTCATGGAAAAGAAGCAGCAACAACAGCAAGAAAAAATAGAAAGTAACAACAACAAGAAAAATAGGATAACTGAAGCAAACAACATGTAATACTAGAAATCTAAGAATAAGAGAAAGCGGGCGTAATACTAATACTACTGATATGAAAAGGAAACCATGCGTCTACTTACTAACCCTCTACTCTAATTCTCGACTTACACACCCTTCTATCCACCCTGAATTTTCCAATGTGAATATTTTTCCAATTAGAGCTATGGACTCCTAAGATCCCCCTTTTTTCTACCTTTTTCGTCTCTCGTTTCGGGTGTAAAGAATGATAGTTCACTGCTTTTGTATAGTGTAAGAGCATGTGTGGGCTAGGCGGACGTCATGGGTTCGAACTTCTGCAGACAAAAGCCTGGTATTTAAGTGGGGAGAGAGAGGTAGAGGAGCGAGCCATTATCCTTGAAGTTCTGAACTGTGTGTTGCAGGCCCTCAGGGATTTCTCAGTTATAAAAGAAAAGAATGATAATTCTCTGCTTATATGCATAGACTGTTAAACCCCAAAAGCCAAATCTCTGAGGGCCCGCGGATGGAACCTTCCTCTTGCATTATTGTAGTGTAATAGGGGATTATTTCTTTAATTTGTATTTACTTTAATGTTTTGTCAGTTTCTGATGATGACGAGATAGACTACTCCGTTAAGCCAGAATTTTATGATCCAGAACTTAACGACAAGGATGAACTCTGGGTGCAGAAGAAAAGGGGTGGTCGTACTTCCGATGCCATCCTTAATTGTCCAGCTTGTTTTACCACACTTTGTCTAGATTACCAAAGGTATTACTTTTCTTCTTTTTAGAATTTCCCTATAATTTGAATTTTAAAAAGAATATATTTGATTGCATGATCCTCTTACTTTACTACTAGAGTAGTTGGATCTTCTTCGGTCAATTAATCAATTAACTATGCCTCAATAGCAATTGAGTTGTCTAGGCTATATGAATCATCTTTATCCATTTGCCCAGTACAGGTCCATTTCATTCCAATATTATATGAACTGCCTTCTAAGTTCAATAATTGGATCTTCTTGCTTTCTCGGATTTATATGTTTGTTTTGGATCCTTTTTTCAGACCATTACAACAACAAAAAATCCAGTGTAATCTCACAAGTGTGGTTTGGGAGGGTAGTGTGTTCGCAGACCTTACCCCTACATTAAAGGTAGAAAGGTTGTTTCTAATTATTTTTTTCAGACCATTATTTTTTGAAAATGGTCAAACTTATTGTAGGAATAACAACAACATCAACGACAACCCAGTGAAATCTCACAAGTGGGGCCTGGGGAGGGTAGTGAGTATGCAGACCTTACTCTTACCCCGAAGGAGTAGAGAGGTTATTTCCGAAAGACCCTCGGCTCAAGAAGACGAAAGAAACTTATTGTAGGAACAATCAGCCAAAATATTTGGATCTTCTTGCATCTAGTTGTCTTTATCCGCTTCCAATGTCTAAGTTCCTTTAATTTCTCTATTTCTTCATCGTCGACCGGTACCAGATCGTCTCACTCAAAATGCAGGAAATTGGTCATGCTTTTATAGGATTGTACTTGTAAGCCTTAGGGAAGTTTATCTAGCAATGAGAAGAAGAGACATCCTAAAAGTAGGCTTCCATGTTGCAGAGTTGTAGAGAGAATCTTTTCTCCAAAAAGTTTTGTATGCTATTTGTTGGACCTTGATTTATAGTATAATTTTAGATATTTGGATATTGCTCACAATGATTATCAGGCACACTAAATATGTAAGAGGTCGAGTTTAGCATTTCTAATAATGGGGTAAAAGTCAAAAATTCCTTTTGATGAAATAGGAGCAAAAGGGGTAAGGATCAACCAGATACACGGTAGACATGGATTAGCCTTCTAATGATACCAGATAAATGTTGGTGAAGAAGAGAAATTAATATTACTATTATGGTATTTTTACATCAACGATACCTAGATTAGGAATAATTATTAAAAAATAATATTTGGATCGGGAATGACATTATCAAAAATATGTTCTTGCATGATTGGAACAGATAAAAACCTGGTTCAGTTCAAATTTAGTGAAAGCAAATATTAAAGGATTATTTTTTCAATAAGTAATAATTAATAAAATTTCTAGACTAAAGTCACTAAACTGCAGGATACGTCTGAGAATATGGTTAGCACTTGGCAGTAAGCTTGTGAAGGTGGATAATGACAAATCATTATACTTTATAGAGATGGACACAACTGAATGCCTGGGAAGTGGAAAAAAAGAATAAGTTTAGTCTAAATAAAAGCAAGAAAAGTGCGCTCTGTAACAACTCAGTTACACTTCTCTTCAACGCCAAATGCCATCAATATGCCCCACCCATAAATATCCATCCCGAGAGAAAGGACGACCTAAGTCGTAGGATGTTTGCTTTCATGGAGTTCTTGCTTCAATTTCTATTGCTAGTGTCCTTGTAATTATTGTAAGCTAATCTGTAACTGTGCTTCTCTCCAGTTGTCACTATGTTTTACTGTTTTGTTTTATCTGAAGAGTCTGATCAGAAATTTTGTAAGTCGACCGAGACAGAATGGCAATTCTGTTTCTTTGGGTAGTATAAAAAAACGATGAAGTTGCAGGGCATACTATAAAGTTGTTTGCCTTCTGGACCTAACATGAAAGACACATACGACACAATTTGTTGAGTTCCTCAAAACTCTTCGTGAACTTTAGGAGAATACCCATGTACTTCTTTTGGGATTCAGTTATGTACATAATTCCAATTGCTTAGTTCTCTTTCATCATTGATAAAGTATATTATTCTTTTTACTGTGCAAAAGTTCTTTTTAACTTACCAAAAAAATAAGGAATGAAATTCACATTTTCTACATGCAAAAAAATGGTAAGAGTTTTTAGTGCTTGCTGCTTGACCTCAAATGAAAAGATCATTGGTGGCAAAAAAGTTGAACTTGATTAAGACCCCTATTTTAGTGAGAGTGACAGAGATAAGCCAAGTCTAGATCAAGCATCAGATAACAGATAGGATATAGAATTCTTGTAACTTTTGCACTTCAAACCAAGCAAGTATTATTCTTGAGGTATCACCTCTACTTGTCTTTCCCATTTAATGGCCACACTTCATTAGAAAATCATTGTATTAGATATTTCTTCGAGTTTTCTCGTTAAGTTCTGCTTTTCTAGCTCCATCACCCTTTCCTTGCTTGGATTTCCGTCACAGTATTTCGTAAAAATTAAGGAGTTTGTCTGATTTGTCTATTATACTAGTAGGCTTGGGAAAATCATGTCTTCTCTGCAACATGGTGGATGTCAATTTTTTACTAGAACTATAGAAGGCACCTCTTCTGAGCAGGAGATAGGTAGCTGAATTATAAACTCAATTTGATTCTTCTTCCTTTTTCTTTATTTTTTTTTCGCTTTAGGAAAGAGTGATTTCCTAAAGCAATGAAATCTGTTATGACTTGGTCAAAGTCGGAGTAACAAGCTGAACGATAAACTCATTTGATTTTTCTTCTATTTTCTCTGGTTTCCTTTTGCTTTAGGAAAGAAAGAACGGCAAGTCGAAAGTTTACTGTTGCGAGAACAGCCAGAAATATTTGATTTCTTTGAATCCGAACTTGAATATTAAACACAGATTTTGCTAGTAGTGTTGCTGAATCTCTATGAACCTGAACTTGACTGTAACAACCCAACCCACTAGTGATATTATCCGTTCTGGGCCTAGGCTCGCACGGGTTTAAAACGCGTCAATAGGGTCTAAGGCTTGTTAACTTATATACCCAGCATCCCTCTTGTGTATACACCCCTCTTATGGACTCAGCGTCCTCACTGAGGTTTGCCCCACCACATGGGATTCTCCTAGACTCAGCACTGAGGTTTGCCTCGTCTAACCGGGATTTGCCTAAACTCAGTTCAATTCTGATCCACCATAGGCAAGGCCGACACAAGAGTGGCTCTGATACCATCTGTAACAGCCTAGCCCACTAGTGATATTGTCCGCTCTGAGCCTTGGCCCCCACGGGTTTAAAACGTGTCACTTGGGTCTAAGACTTGTTAACTTATATACCCAGCATCCCTCTTGTATCTAAAATCTAGGGTGTTATATTGACGTGCTACCGATCTTGTCGAGTTTTCGCATTGACATTTACAAAATGGTTCTGTCATGTTTAGCTCTGAACACTAGGGACCAAAAATGCAATAACATAATTAAAGTAACTCATTCTTCATCTATGTTTTAATGGTAATTGAAAATGTATTGCGGAAGACAGCTATTAGTATCATGTTCTTACTATACTTTGCAAAACTGATGCACCTATATGACATTGCCAGTTAATTTTTTAATAGTAAATTTGTAGCTGGAGACTCCTGTTGAGTTACTATCCGGTTTTAATCATTGTTCAGCAGTAGCGTAATTGGTGAGTTGTTCAATCAAGAAAGTGCCTTAGTGCATTTTGTCACTAATGTAAGCTTTTGTTTCTCATTTTGTTAGCTTTCTAGTGGATTTTGATAATTCTGCAATTCAGAGTTGATGTTATCTTGATAATGTAGGCAAGAAAAGAATGTTACGCAGTACCGAGCAATGTTTGTGGTCAATTGCAAGATCAAGAGTAAACAAGTGGCACAGCTTAGAAATAAACGAAAGAGGGGTAAGAAAGGACGTGGATCTAGTGAGGCTGATGCACATTCTGATATAGGCGAGACATCTAAACATATATGCTGTTTAGTTTGTTCGACGGATGTTGGAGTCATCGACGAAGATGAGGTCTATCATTTCTTTAACGGTATTCCTAGTGAATCTTGATATTTTCCTCCCGAAATGGCCTTAAGCGCTCAGGATAAAATTTGTTTAATAGTACTATGTTTTCGGCGTCGCATTGCAGAAAACTTAAGGGGTCAAAGAGCACTTTCCTTTTGTATTTTTTTTTTCTTTTCAGAAGGGTTCTGTTTTTGGGTGGGGGTGGGGGGGATAGTTCTCTTGATGACGGGTCGCTCTGCCACTTCATGTTTTAGATCAGTTGTATTTTGAACTGCAAAATAGTTGTAGTTTGTGCTAAGTAAAAGCTCCCTGCTTCTCCTTAATGAATGTTGAAGTAAACAATTAGTAAAGTTTGGAGGAAAGCCTACTTAGTATATGTATGGCAAAATGATGGAGAAGAAGTTGAAAGTTGACCAGAGCCAACTGAATGTGTCACCTTAAAATCTAACAAATATTTCTCACTTGGTCCTACAAGAGAAGCAAGAATGATTTTCTGGTTTACTCCGTATTATCTTGAGAATTCTTTATCTCTTCTAATTTGATAGTAATTTAGTCATTTGGAGGAATGATAACCCTGAAAATGTTGATAATGTTAAAGAGAACAACACATGTGACTTACTATATATAGATTTAGAAGCGAAGTTTATGTTAAAGGAATAATTTGGGATTTACATGCCTATCGTGGAGGAACAAAAGTGGTCTTTGTATGTCCATCAACTTTGGCCATCTGTTCAAAGAGTATTTTTGTCCAACTTAATTTCTGTGGGTATTTGCGGATGAAATATTATGTATGCCATTTTTCTCTCCTTCACTTGTTTTTTTCGAGCTTCAAAAAACAGAGAGTAACAGTCTAACAGAGAAGAAAATGCAAGGAACTGAAGAAAGAGAACGGAGAGGAATAGCCTGAGATGGATAAAGTATTGCACACATGTTTTCCTTTTTCTTTTTTTGTTATTTTAAACCCAACGTATGAGTTATATTTTAAAACTTTTGTGCATCGATGTGTATAATTTGTTTACACCGCCAGACTAAAATGACGTACAAAATTAGGTAATTGTTTATAGCTATTATAATTTGGTAACCTGAAGTAACAGTAAGTAATATTTATAATTTTTTTAATTGATACTATTCACTCCATTTTATTTTATGTGTTTGGATATAAAATTTGAGAATGCAAAGAAAATTTTATAGTTTTGTGATTTTAAACTAAACGTGTGTATAACATATCAAAAATATTCTTTGGATCTTGTGATATTAAATATGACATGTCATTCTTACAAGGAAGTGTCATCGATGGCGGATTTACATGGTCAATCGTGGGTACCCATTATCTTTGACAAGATTTAGTAAATTTGCATAGGAAATTATAAAAATATTTAAATAAATATTAAGTGAGCACCCATCGTATTAAATACCTTGTGTCATGACCCGCCATATCATCATATCATGTAGGTGCCATTTGACATATATTAATACCATGTGAAAGCTTACATATGAGGAATGCTAGCATTTATGAGAAAATTCTAGAGAAGTATGGACATTTCCTTAGGAAAACCCTAGATCCCTATGGATCTGCTAGGAAAGTCCTTGGAATCTTCTAGGTTTGTAGAGAGTTCTAGAGAAAACCTTTATCTTGTAAATATTAAGGACTTGTATAACAATTAATATTTACATACTAGCCCCTAGGAGACTAGTATATAAAGGAGGTCATTCATTTGTAATTCACCAAGCAAAAATAATTAAGTTTTCTCTAATACAAAAGTTTCCTTTGGCAATTTTCCTGTGTTCTAACATTCCCTTAGCGATCTTTAGTATAGTAAGATTACTTGGCATAGCAAGAACATGGGCAAGTTGTCAAGTGTTGCACGTGCGCTTAGTTGAAGACTAAGGACGTGACACTTGGGTCTATTATTCAGGAAAGGGAAGATTGATGAAGATGTCACCCATCATATTGGGGCGGGATGGATGAAATTGAGACTCGCTTCCGGTATTTTGTGTGACAAGAAGGTGCCACAGAAACTTAAGGGTAAGTTCTACAGAGTAGTGGTCAGACCAACGATGTTGTATGGGGCTGAGTGTTGGCCAGTCAAGATCGCTCATGTCCAGAAGATGAAGGTAGCAGAGATGAGGATGTTGAGATGGATGTGCGGGCACACCAGATTAGATAGGATTAGAAATGAGGATATTCGCGATAAGGTGGGTGTGGCCCCTATTGAGGACAAGATGCGGGAAGCATGGCTTAGATGGTTTGGTCATGTGAGGAGGAGGAGGAGCACCGATACCCCCAATGAGGAGGTGTGAGAGGTTAACATTGGAGGGCCTACGGAGAGGTAGAGGTAGGCCAAAGAAGAGGTTAGGAGAGGTGATTAGGCAAGACATGACGCAACTTCAGCTGACCGAGGACATGACCCTTGATAGGAAGGTATGGAGGTCGAGGATTAGGATAGTAGAGTAGGTAATCCAGAGTGTTCATAACAGTAATATTGATACGCAATCTCGCTTTCTGATGGTAGTAGATTTTTATGACTAACCGTTGTTTTCTTTCATTGTGATCACCTTACTGTCTTGTTGTTTTTATTCTGCTTTTATATGGCTTTTTGGTACTTTTCCTTCTTATCTATATTTTCATTAATGTAGTGCTTATACTTTTCTGAGCCGACGGTCTATTGGAAACAACCTCTCTATCCTCACAAGGTAGGGGTAAGATCTGCGTACACACTACTCTCCCCAGACCCCATAATGTAGGATAATACTGGGTATGTTATTGTTGTTGTTGTTGTTGTTGTTATTGTTGTTGTTGTTGTAAGTGAGCACCCATGACTAAACTTCTTTTTCCTTCTTTTAAATTTTTTATCGGTGAGCACCTACGACTTTAAAATCCTAACTGCGCCACTGAATGTGATTAAAAATAAAATAAAAATGTGTAAATTATATACTATCATTGTACATAAATTAAACACATTACTTGAGTTTGAGCAAAATAAACGTAGTGTTTGGGATGTTATTGAAAAACGAACGCTGGCCAATTAGGTAGTTCTGTCACTCTATAGGATGAAAATTTTCCATTAGCAAACCGTAATTTGCTTTCTTTTCTCTTCAATCATACTTTTTCCCCTTAACTAATTAACTTATTCTCATTCATTATTGCTCGTATACAAAATGTCGCCTCCCTTTTGTGTCTCATCCTTTAGGCAATTAACCTGTTTAGTGATTTTATCAAAAAATGTATTTAATACATTCCAAATGGGAAGGCAAAAACCTAATAGAGGCACATGGAATTTCCTTGGACGGTCACGTAATTTATGATAATATTTTATTAAAATCACAGTACTTATTACTTTTTGACTCGGAAAATAAAAAATACATATTTGGTAAACTATATCATATGAATAAAGTATAATTTTTAATAATAAAACTCATTTAACCCCTCTCTATTTCTAATACCCTGTTAACCCATGATAAATCACGACAAACAGAGGACGCAGCCAGTAAAAACTACTCGCTGTTCTCAAGACTTCAGAAGCACAGTTTAACACCAGAGAAGGGTTTCTGACGAAGGTGGAAATCAGGAAATGGCGTCAGGGGGAGGAAGAACACTGGAAATAGAGAAGATGAGCGTCGAGCAACTAAAGGCACTGAAGGAACAAGCCGATCTAGAAGTGAACTTACTTCAAGACAGCCTCAACAACATCCGCACTGCAACTACTCGCCTCGAAATCGCCTCTAATGCCCTTCAAGATCTATCTCTCCGCCCTCAAGGTATAAATACCCTTTTGAGAATTAGGTGTAAAAATGTGATCTTTTTTTACTTTATTGTGAAATTTGTGATTTGTTTTTTTTTTTTCCTTTTCTTTTTCTGGGTTTTTTTCTTGTGTAGGGAAGAAGATGTTGGTGCCTTTAACAGCGTCTCTATATGTGCCGGGGACCCTAGATGATGCTGATAAGGTTTTGGTAGATGTTGGCACTGGATATTTTATTGAGGTTTGTATTTATTTTTTGGCGCATCTGTAATTGGGACATTCATCTTGCTGTCTATTTATGCTAATTGAGTCAATAAAGTTGCTATCTTTAATCTAGAATTATGTTTATTTGTGGTTTTTTGTGGTGGGTGGTAGGTGTTAATCGGTTTCTGGGGTGCAGTAAGATGGGTGAGCATAGGCAGATGCTACTGTAGTATGCAACTAAAACTAAAGATGACTTCTTTTTATGTCGTGTGTGTGGTTATTTCTTATATCGCAGTTTCATGTTATGTGACTGTGTTTGATTTTCCAAAGAATCTAAGGAGTTAATTTGATATGAATTATATTAATGTAGGGGTAAGGTCTGCGCGCACACTAACCTCCTAGACCCCACTTGGTGGGATTACACTGGGTTTTTTGTTGTTGTTGTTGTTAGTGGAAGAAAATAACACAGTAGTTGAAAGTTAGTTTGATTGAAAAAACATATCAGGAGGTTATGAATTGAAACGTGTAATGAATTTGAATTCTGGAAAGCTGAGAAAACTGTATAGAAATGTTGGGCATTTTGAATTGTAGAAAGATGAAAAGAGTGTCATACATCAGAGTATATTCTAAATTCGTCGTTGGTGTACCTTGCTTGTGACTGATTTTTGATTTGGATTCTTATGAGGAATGTGACATGGTGCTTAATTCTGTGTTGTTCTTGGCGTACTTTTTTTTTCCTGTTTTCTTTTACCTTGTAAAAAAGCTCATTACTGATAATTGTCCATTTGGAGAGTGTTATTGTGGAGATTGGTTGGGTTTTCTTCTGTGCTGATGACTTGTTTTGTTTTTCCAGGAATGTGTAATGGATTTCGTTACAATATCCTTATAAAAATGGATTCTCTTGCAATATATGCTCGAAGCAACATAGTTATGATTTTCAGAAAATTCTTTCTATGTACTAAATATCTTTTATTGGTTTTGATCCTCTGTCTAAAATGAAAAACAAGCCTTTTGGATTCCTTTTCTAGTTACTCCTTTCTTAGGTTTGGATAATTTGATGTTTACTCTAGATTTTCTGAACTTTATAGGGTCTAAGTTAATTTTCTCTTTAGAAATGTATCTTTCATGCATCGAGAAGTTTGTTATATGTAGTTCCTGGATAATCAATTTGCTTCTTGCTTTTTCAAGAAATAAATTGGTGATGTCTTAATAATCTAAGGGACTGTTGTTGGAGCATTATCGAAAAGAACACATTTTTCATTCTATGCCTCAGTTATTTCATATATGGAAAGCCATATATTGTCTTTCCACATGGTCCTATCGCCAGAAGGTTTAAGCCCTATTGTTTTCTTTCTTTGTTTTAACAGAAAACTATGACAGAAGGAAAAGATTACTGTGAGCGAAAAATCAACCTGCTAAAGTCCAACTACGAGCAGCTTCTTGATGTAAGTATCCATTTCATTTCAGTTGGTGAAGTGAATTTTCTTGCAAGTTTTGAGCTGTTTATATTAGTTGACTTGTGTTTTGATTTGATGTAAATTCTACATACTAAAAACCTTCTCAAGGGTTTCATTATTGGTGTACCGAGTACATCTATCTCAATCCTACGTGATACTTCTGCCGTTAATCTACCTAATGTAAGCTAAACTTCTATACTCGGTGCAATTGATGCGAGGAAAAGTAAGGGGAACATATTGTTTTAAAGGGTTTCAAGGAGTTCTCGGCCATGTACGCTTCTCGCAATATACAAGAAGTTGGTTTTAGAGGACATCAAATGGCCTCTGCCAATATAAACGCACTATACATTCACACCATACATAGCTAAACTCACTAAGAAAAATCATCCGAACAGCATGGTTAGTGGTTACTGGCATATGCTTATTTCACGTCATATGAAGAGTTCAAAAAAAAGTTGGACATTTAGTATCTACAAGAAGGTTTATGAGTATTCAGTAGCCTTCTCTCAGTCAATAGAAAGTGGTTTAGAATTTTTTTTTTTTTTGGCACCCAAGGGTGTGGGTCTATAAAGTTGGTGCTAACCCTGCACACCCAGGTTCAAATTCCGGAGACAAAAAAACATTAGGTAATTTCTTTCCATTTGCCTAAGCCTTGTGCTTAACGGAGGTAGCAGGTACCCGATGTAATAGTCGAGGTGCGGGTAAGTTAGCCTAGACAACAACATTATAAAAAAGAATTTATTGTCTTTCTCCTCCTTATACCTGGGAAAGATAGCTTGGAAAGCTGTTTACCCCATGTTGTAAAAGCTTGCATTGCAACTACTCACCTTTCATGTGGACTTCATAGGGTTTTTTTCACTCTCTGGGACAGATATCATCATTTAGGAGGATATAATGGTTAATTTTCCATTCTGTTGTATCTTCTCACAATTTTATCATTTCCACCTGCATTATGGTTTTGAGAGTAGAGTGGTGGTGATTGTCTGAAGTTTTCCCCTTAATGTTTTTGCAAATTTCTTCAAAAATAGGTCATTGAGAAACCTGTTTCATTCTCTATCAGAATTATGACTTTATATGAAGCTTTTGTTATTCACAAAATAAAATTGAAAATAGTTCCAAATGTGTTTAATGGCACATAAGTCATCCTGGAAGATAAACCAGTTATCTTCAAGTATAAATCCCACCTTATTCCTGATTTCCTGGGATACACACAAGCTCTTATTCCACTAACCACGTATAGTCTTACTCTAATCTCCAGGCTGCACCCCACACCTGCTTATATAACTTATCCAAGTTAAACCACGACACTGATCTATTTGACAAGGCTGTGCTAAAATTTTAATAGTCCAGGTTGCAAGACTAACCTCAGAGTGGTGCGAACAGCCTCCTATCTATTTTTTCAACTTCCCATTATTGTAGTTTCCTTCCTTTGAAAGGTCTATTTGAAATTTTGTAAACCTAGACATGAGGAACCATCATTGAATTCAAAATTTCTTCCTTGCTTCATCTGGCCTACCATTAGCGTGAATTGCATTTCTAATCTACTACTTCCCTGTTCTTATCCTTTCCATACCCTTCCCTTTGTCATTCTTCCTGCAACTGACCACTCCTCTACTTCTATTCTTTCCTTGCATTTCCTATGCTCTTGCTTAGCTTCACATCAGGAAGTAGGAATTAATTGAGACATGGTATCACCTGAACACTCTTAACCTGATTAAAAGTTAAGATTAAACAAATTGAATACTACTTTCAGAATTCGTAAATGCAACCTCAATATCATTAAAGTGAAAGTTCATACTTCTCATGTTCGAACTGAATTTGAATGACCTAGGGATAGTAGAGTAAGTTTGAAGATACTTCAAACATTTTTCTTATGCCTCATCTTTAACACATGACAAAGTTAGTTATGCCAAATCACAAGAAAGAGGAGAGCTAAATCTAACATAATCAGTCACCATGAAATTACTTGGAACTTCTTCATTCGGTAGTTTCCTCTACGAGTCTATCTCAGTGTTTTTGTGTGCGTGAAGTGCCAAAAAACGGCAAGGGCATGCTTCGCTTAAAGCTAGAAGCGAAGCGACATTTTTGAAAAAATTACCAAACAAATACGTAAAATAACTAAATAAAAAGAATTCAGCAAAAACAATACTCCCTATGTTCCAATTTATGTGAACCTATTTGACCTGGCATGGTGTTTAAGAAAGAAATAAAGACTTTTAAAATTGTGGTCCTAAACAAGCCATAACATTTGTGTGGCTATAATTCTTCTGAAACTTGTGGTGTTAAATATGCCAGAGTATTGTGTGGCTATAAAAGCTTCTCATTGAGGGTAGAATTTGAAGTTTAAGTTACATTGTTTCCAAATTTAGAAAGATGCTATTCTTTTTCGAACGAACTAAAAAGGAAATAGATTCACATAAACTGGAACGGAGGGACTAGTATATATTAGCAAATCTTTCGATTTAAAAACTAAAAAGTAGAGAGAGAGAGAGAGAGAGAGAGAGAGAGAGAGAGAGAGAGTATATATTCTTTCAAGTTATAAGTCGATTTCTTATAATAAAACAAAAGATTAAAAACAGAGAAAGAACAAAAAGAAAATAGCTTTAAAACAAAGAAAGAAGGGAACAAGAAACCTGGCAGCTGGAGCGAATGAAATTGAATAGAAGAAGGAGAAGAAAATGCAGCTACAGAAGAAGAAAAAAGATAGAAGAAGGAGGAGGAGGAGAAAAGATTTGGAGCCTATTTCTAACCCTAGCGGCGATGGGATGAAGCAGATGAGTCTCCTTTCTCAGCTAAATAGTCTTCAGGTTTTTTTTAAAATAGGTCCCCTATTTCCTTTTTTCTTCTGAAAAGAATTGACTCTTTTAAAAAAATGAAGTCGACTCTTTTAAACAAAAGTACAAAGCAATTGCTTCCTCTGCTTCTCACTTCTCGCGACCGCTTCATTAGAGTCCCTTCGCTTCACACCCGAGAAGCGCTACCTGCTCGCCAAGCAATGAAGCGACCACTTTTCACAACACTGGTCCATCTGAATTTCACAACGCTGATAAAAATTAGAGAATGACAATCTCAATTTGCTTATTAGTCCCAAAGAGGTTTTGGCTGATCAGTTGATTTCAGCCTTGTAAAATTTTGTGCGAGGAGTACCGTTGACTTGTAACTAAAATGAGAGCATTCAAGTTCTAGGCAATGTAGGTAAAGTCTTTAGCTTTGCTAATGTGGTGTAAGCTAACAGTCCCCATATTGATGTATGTACTCTACTCTCGAGTACTCTTTTTGTTGAAGGTGACCCCACTCGTTCGGGAGGCAACCGATGTTTGGAATTTTGACCATGGATAACTACAATCTCCTGAAACAACTGGATAGAGCCGATGAAATGGTCAGCAATGAGTCTTTATTAGAGATCTTAACCTTAAGGATTTCGACTAGCTACTTACCTGTAGAAAGGTCTTTTGCTGCTTTTGCTTGATGGAAACTTAACCAAGAGGCGGAGCTAGAATAATACTGTGATTTTGCTTTAAACTATGTAGCTTTGATCATTCTTTACCATCACGTGTTATTGCCAGCTATACTTTATTGGAGTAGAAGGTTAGTCCTCACAAATAATGAATCAAGTAGTTGGGTTTCCTTTAGCAAAGAAAAGGCTCATTCGAGCTGCAGGTATACCTCTTCTCTATTTTGGTCTGGAGACCAAAGACCAACATATAACTCTCTTCTTTGCTCTTGCAAGATTAAAGGCTCTATACTAGTAGTATCTTTCTATCATTTGAAAAAGTTATGTGGCTGATGTTGGGAGGAGTTCTTTGAGGTTTATAGTCTGATAACAAAGAGCCTTATTATGTTTTTCTTTTCTTATGGACATTACCTTCTTCTTTTAGTAATCATTCGAACAAATTGCAGGTTGCAACGAAGAAGAAAAGTATTGCCGATGAAACTGGTGTTATCTTGCAAGCTAAATTGAGACAACTTGCTCCTCCAGCACAGTAGATCCCATTGTTCTTTTTCCTTTTGGGGGTGGAGTGGGGTGCCTACTTAAAATGTACTTAAAAATGAATCCTGTGGAGTTGCCTTTGTTGATAACTCAACGAGTTCATGCGCCTCAGGCTTAATGAGCACCAAATTCTATCTAAATTAGCATTGCTGAAGCAGAAGTTTAACGGGTGTTCGTTCCTCCATTTCACTCCACTTTTCCCTAGTTCTTTTTGCCTTTTTGCGAGAAGCAGATGATTGATCATCTGTGTCATTGTAGCAACATTGGTTGATGACTCAAAGTTATGATTTAACTTGGAATGTCCTTTAGTGGGTGAAGCCATGATGCAGTTCTACTTTTACTGCAACCCAAGTTTCTAATTCAACTATGTATGTGTGTTTTGATGAGGAAAGTTGTTGTTACATTCTCTTATATCATCCTGGAGGGAATTCTTGTAGCATCCTCCCCGCCCACGATATCTGGTCCTTTCATTATTGTTGTAATTGTTATTCTTTTCCCTTTGTTCCTCCTGTTAAATTGGAGTTCATGTTAATATCATTATCAAATCTGCAGTGAGTGGATCCAGTGAGTGTGGTTACCAAAACCTTAGAACTTTTGAGTGCAAGCCCATTATGAGGGAGAAGAGAAGCTGACCCAAAAAATGTGCGAAGGTCATGAGATGTCGTTGGACAAAATAATACTCTCTCCGTCCTCCTATTTTTATTTACGGAATATTTAGTCTGATTAAGTGATAAATATATGTACTGAAGAAGCAATAATGGTAAACTAAAGTGCATCAAATATTCCTGCTTTATTCTTACGCCAAGGCTATTTGTGAGCAATATTGTTAATTATGATAGTGTTACACTTTTTTATGTAGTTCGAATTTTTAAAGATTATTTAATTAGTTTATCTATCTTTTCTTTGGATGGAAAAAGGTTTAACTTTATTTTTGTACTATTCAAAATTGTGCAACTTTGCATTTTACTATAATTTTTGCTTTAATATTAACCTCTCGTTTTTGGCCTTTGACTTCTAACATAATTCAACTTGGGGGTAATTTTAAATTATATTTGTTGTATGTCTATTGAAAATAATCTTTTTATCTCCGCAAGGTAGGTGGTAAGGGTAAGGTTGCCTACACACTATTCTCTTCAAACTCCACTATGTGTAATTATATCGGATTTGTTCTTGTCTTTGTTATTAAAGATGATTTCAAGAATATTGAAAGTAGAATTAATTACAAAAATTGCAAAAAATGAGAGGTAAGCTTGGTTATTTTTTCTCGAAGAATTTAACTAGTAAGTTATTCATTTTATACTGGAGCTCGGTCAATGATAAAGGAAAATACAAAATATTTGCGGCAAGGATATGAATGCAAAATTGAGCAATTTGAAATAGATCTTGTTCAAAAGGGAAAAGGGCCAAATATACCCCAATACTTTCAGATATTGTCTACATTTACCCTTCGTTATACTATCCGGCCAAATTTACCTATACAATCAGCAAACTTTTAAAAATTACCCCCCAGTCCGCCAGGTGACTCAGAATCTCCCAAATCATTTTAATTAAGTTACTGATTCTTCTTCTTGATCCACTATTTTCGAAATAATTGGCATTTACCTGCTTTCTGAATTGGAGAAAAAGATATTAAATAATACAACGGTTAATAACAAAGTATAGTTATTTGAAAAATCTAAATTAGGTAGTTTGTCTAAATTCTAAAAGTATTTACAACATCCCAATTTTAATGAATTCGTTGCACCAAATGTATGAGGACTTTGCAAGTATTGGTGATTGAAGTTGAAGTTACTCGGAAACTTTACATTGTCGAATTCAACTATGTTTTAATCAAATGCCTACACGTTGTGCACTCTTAAATTAGTCGATCAAACTCTAAACTAACCAGATAATGACAAAATATATTTGAATATACATGTACATACATAATGATCAACTGCATATAATTCACAATAAATAGACCCATTGAATTATCTACATTGTGTATGGTCATGTGCAACTCCAGTGCACAACGTGTAGGCACTCCAGTGCATCGGGACGCTCTAGTCCGATTGGTGAGTCTTATGGAGGGTGTGCCCCAGAATGGTACATTTCCAGTGGCACCAGCCGTCTCACAGGCTGGGGGAGGAGCACAAACTCCCACTACTCCCGCTCCGGAGTAGATGGCTCCCCAGAATCAGGCTCTAACAGCCCCGCCAGTTGGGGTAGTTCAGCCAGTTGTTGCGGCACAGACCGGTGGTAGGCCCGCCATGTCTTTTGAGGCCTTATTGAGACTGGATAAGTTCACTAAGCTCTTTCCAGTTCACTTCAGTGGTACACCTTCTGAGGACCCACAAGATTATCTTGAACGCTGCCATGAGGTGCTGCGGAACATGGGTATAGTTGAGACCAATGGAGTTTATTTTGCTGTATTCCAGATGACGGGCTCCGCCAAGAGGTGGTGGAGATATTACATATTGACCCGACCAGTCGGATCACCTGCACTTACCTGGGAGCAGTTCTCTTAGCTATTTCTGGAGAAGTTCCTCCCTATCACACTGAGAGAGGAATTTCGCAAGCAATTCGAGCGTTTACAGCAGGGCAGTATGACTATTACTCAATATGAGTCCCGTTTTGTGGATTTGGCCCATCATGCTCTCCTTTTACTACCAACGGAGGGAGAGAGAGTGAGGAGGTTTATTGAAGGACTCACTCACCCTATCAGACTTCAGATGGCCAAGGAGACCGGAAGTGAGATTTCTTTTCAGACAGCCCATTTCTATTCCACCATACCGTATGGCCCCGCCGGAGTTGAAAGAATTGAAAGAGCAGTTACAAGACTTGCTTGATCAGGGATTCATTAGACCCAGTGTCTCACCCTGGGGTGCACCAGTATTATTTGTAAAGAAGAAAAATGGCTCGATGCGGATGTGTATAGATTATCAGCAGTTGAACAAGGCCACTATCAAAAATAAATATCCGCTGCCAAGAATTGATGACTTATTTGATCAACTTCAAGGTGCCAAGGTATTTTCGAAGATTGATGTGAGATCTGATTACCATCAGTTGGAGATTAGGGCATCTGGTGTCCCTGAGATAGCTTTTCGGACTCGGTATGTGCATTACGAGTTCCTAGTGATGTCATTTGGGTTGACAAATGCTCCAGCAGCATTTATGGATTTGATGAATCGGGTGTTCAAGCCCTATTTGGATTCTTTTGTGGTTGTATTCATTGATGATATCTTGATTTACTCCAGCA